TGGTCCGCCTGGCCCACCTCCTCCCCCGGGAGGAGGAGGAGGGGGCGGTCCAGCGTCAGCGCGCTCGTTTATTGCAACGCGCACACCGCTCAAGGCAATCACTGCCAAAGTGAATGTGATCCTCACATACGTTATTTCCGCAATCAGAGCAGAGATACATGGAAACCTCCTGAGCATTCTTGCGACATGCCCAACATTTAAGCTTCAAGAAGTGACAATTGCAACAATCTCCATCTTCACCCTCGCACAGCCTACAAAACTCACGACTGCATGTAACACACGTGAATTCAGCATTGGGATGCCTACGATCATTTGGATCGTCGAGAGCACAGATCTTTGGCGCATTTGACCCGCCAGTACCAGGCGTACCTCTCGCAGCCGGTGCCGAGGCCTGTCCACGATCGGATTGTTTCTACCTACATCCCGGTTTGGAGAAACTGAAATGTCCCCCCTTGCGCGTGCGCGGGGGCCGTCCCTCACGCGTCCCGGCGGGGAATGTGACCTGTCAGGCAGTCCCCGGGCTCTCCTGCTTCTGCTGTCTGCCCTCTCCCTATCGGGATGAATGGGATGCCTGTCCGCACGAGAAGGATCGACCCTATCAGGCACAGTCGGCAACGCTTGACCGGACAAGCCAACACCCCCACCCGGCCTTGCTGGAAGATCAGTACCCCGACCATTTCCCTCACCAGGGCTGGGTGTCGGTGACCTGATTCTGTGTCCCTGCCCAGCAAATGCGTTGTACCCAGGGTTCCGCCTCTCTCTGGGTCCTTGAGGGCTCTCATTAATCTGCTGGACACCCTGAATAATGCCAGCAGCTTCCTCAACTTGACCCTCCAGATCATAAAGTTGGGCCATGATTCTGTTGTTCATTCCATTCAGAGTACGCATATTACTCTCAACAGTAGTGATCCTCCGCATCGAGGCTTCCTGCGAGTTGCGGAATGAATCCAGCTCGCGCCTAACGGCGGACCGTGCTTGATCACTACTCGCCGGGAGGTTACGAATTTGTCTCCTCATATCATCAAGAACTTGATTCAGAATTCCCGAGCTCGCCTCGTACTGCTCAACACGGGACTTCACGGTCTCAAACCTCGCAATGACATCGTCATGATCCCGACGTTGGCGTTGAACTCCGCGAGATAGATCCTGGATCTTCTGATTGACCTCGTCAATTGCTTCATGCCAGTCCTGCGGGGAATCAGGCCCTGATGGTCTATCGACCGCCTGGGACCCCCTTCCGCTTTGCAGCCTCGACATTCGATCAGCAAGGATAATCTGTTCCTCATTGATGCCACCAATAGATTCGGAGGCCCGCTTAGCAAACTTCTCGTGCTCAACAAGGATCTTCTCGAGCCTCAGGCTTAGTTCCCTGAAGTTCGCGTCCGCCCCACTGCTGGCAGCCCTATCGGGCAATTGCGCAGTCAGATCACCTGCCGGCGTCCGCATCCCAACGGCTTTCTCTATCTTGAAGAGTCGTGTCTCGGTCTTGTCCAAGTCTTTAAGGATCTCATCCTCAGAGGCAGCATGGCTCCTGCGGATGGCCTGATGATTTCCTGAATGACCTGACGAAGTTGGCTAGTTGCGACTTCATTTTCCCTAACGGATTCATGAACTTCGTGGGAAAGCAGGTTGACCCTCTGATCCACAATCTCAGCCTGTTCGTCGATGGCTTGCCTCACAATGGCCTTGCTATCAGGGATAACTTCGATGGCAAACCGCTGAACTATCATTCGCATCCTATCGGCATCAGACTGAGTCGCAATCTCAGTAGCCAGACGATTGACCCTGTCCTTCGTCTGCTGATTCTCGTCGCTCCACTCCCTTCGCATGGAACCCACCTGACCGTTCAGTACCCTGATTTGGTCAGCAAAGATATGGAACGCCTTCGCGACCGAACCAGACACCTCACCTCTCTCGAGCATCTCCTGGATGTGCAAATCAAACACCTCCTTTGCCCTAGCGTCACCTGACTCGCCGGAAGAATGGGATCTGTGGGCCGGAGGAGTCGATATCTCGATCCTCTCAGGAGCCCCACTAGCTCTGGCATATCTTCTGGGGTCGCCTACAGGACAATCATCAATCCTGGATGGCCTACTCGGGGTTGATCCCCTTCTCCGACTATCGCCAGATCGGGGATCAACATTAGATGCACGAGACTCTGGAGTAGAATGGATATGAACATCAGCAGGGTCGAACATTTCTTCATCCTGCTGGGTTGAACCTAACGGTGAAGGGCTAGCCCTCCTCGCCTTTGACCTATCGGTCTCAATGGCAGGGGCGACGGCCTCTTCGAGGAAGCACTACGTTCCCTGGCGGTCGATCCCCATTGAGGTGTGAACTCGTTGCTAGACCTTAGCGTTTCAAGGTCGCTGGGATCTCGCCCTAACGGGCTAGCGATCGACGGACGATCTTCGATTCCAAGTGCTTCGGCAAGCCGACCATCTCTGGCACCTGTCCTACCGACATCGGCAGCCCGTTCAATGATCCCCGGCGAACCAGTAACCCGGTTCAAGTTCTCGTCTCTCTGATTCAACGGACCTCCAAATGTAATGTTGGGAAAAGGGGGAACGTTCGGGGTATCACCAACCACTGGAGGACCTATCGGTCCCTCCCAGTCATGGATGGCCTCCAATCCCCGAAGAACTTCCCGACTATCCCTGGCTCTCTCTCGCTTCGGGTGTCCCTGTCAACACGAAGGTCCCTGGCGGCTCCACGAGAGAGGCTCCTGGGCCTCGCAGCAGCACGGCTCCTAGCATTTCGGCGTGATTGGTCCTCTTCCTCATCACGACGATCCGCAAATGCGGCATATTCATCCTTGCAGCAGCACGGTTGCCCGCATTTCGGCGCGAATGGTCCTCCTCCTCATCCGCAAAATTGTAATCCTCGCCATTATCAAACTCAGACTTGGCAGTATCAGGGTTGGGCCTATCGGCATCAGACCCCTGCTTTGAGCTACTACCCCAGCCTGCGGTTGATTTCAACAGAGCATCGTATCCGAAGCCTGTGAATTTCCGCTCCTCGTGCTCATCAAACTGACCTGGGTTTTGAGAACCAGTGGATCGACCCGAGATATCTCTCGGAGCCAAAACCATAGTCCCTGGTCCCTGCAGCCTGTCCTCAAACGCATCCGAGACCTGCGATTCACCTGGAATGAGAGATCTCGGGGGTCGGGTCGGCATGGCCTCCGGGTCGTCCGAATGAGGGCGGGCCATGTTCATCGCCATGCTGATGAAGTCGAACTGTCCGCGCCTGCGACCTGACTCAGAGCCGCTCCTATCGGAGCGAACTCTTTGTGCCTGCTCGTCATCAGTGGCCTGACGGAAAATACGATCGTCTCCATCGTCGGTGTGCCTGCCACGGCTCCTGGGTGTGTCCCTACCGGGATCTTCACCCCTGCGGCCCTCTGTCGAACCTGCTTCGAAATCCTCGTAGTCATAGTCCGGTAGGTCCTCACCTGAGCGGAGGCCACCTAGGATGGCCTCCTCATCCACGACGCTCCTTCGGATCGTGGGGTCGACATAGAGCTTGTAGTTGATGGTCTCAAGCGCGTAGGAAAGTCCTACGGCTGATAACCTGTGATTCGGGCACGAGCCTGTGCCCAGGCAATGGGTAAGTTGGGGTAAACAAGCCACAAAAGAAAGGTTCCCCAAAAGCAAACCAATCCCCGGTCCCAAAGATCAGGGTTTCCCACACACCAGAGAACAACAACCAAAAGGGAAAATAACCAAATAAGAAAAGGGTTACCCGCAACCTTGACCGACAACAGGCCGCACGAATGGTCCCTACCAACCTGACGGCGGCCCGAGGTCTCTTTCTCCCCCGAGATGTCGTCGGTCGACGCAGGGGCTCGGCGACGCCCATTCGAGGCGCGACGGAACCCGTAATTCTTGAGCCAAACACCACCGGTCAGTCACTATCGCGACATCCCTGGTGATGGTTTAAGACATGGCTAATCACAGTATATCATAAATTCGTGTATTTATGTATGTGTGTACATATATGTACATATATAGATCAACGGGTGTTTAAAGCTGAAACTTTGTTCTACTTGGAAGGCGATGTCCCAAGCCATGGTTGATCAATCCTGGGGCCATAGAGCTCATACTTTCAGCCGGGAGCCTTGGGCCCATTGAGAGCGATTGCCATGAGCGCCAACTTGCTGCCAATATTCAGTGATTTGGATTAGGAAAATTGGAAGCAAGGAGTTCAAGAGCGGATTTCACTGCGGTGGCTCCAATGTTCAGTGCTTAGGAAAATAAGAGCCACTCAGATTTGTGCGCAAAAAAATGGATTTCCAGGAGTTGAACATTGGCTTCGCTCTGACGAAGGTTCGTCTTTGTTCATCCTGAGAACTCGTAGCAAACTATTTCTGAAACAAGTATGCATATTCATGTGGGCATTGCGTGTGCCCGTTAGGTCTCGTCAGCGGTGCGAACGTCTACATTCTATGGCGAGAGAGCGATTTGGTCTTAAAGCATTGGAGTACGACGCGACTCCGAACCCATCAGACGCATGTTGTCGTCGCCTGCGTCCGCATTGTTGTGCTGGGCAGAGACAGCACACGTCCCTCATCATCAGGATGCATTGGTTTAATGTTTTGCATGTGTGGTTTCACACTTGTTGATGTAAGACCTCGCGCGCAAATTTGATTCTATTGGAACCATGGGCTTGAAACCGCCAATCTCCTCAATCTTTTGCTTCGGGATTCCCTGGGCCGATCTGAATTCACATTCTGCCAAACCCTGTCCAGCGTGTGGATCTTGCCCTTGTGGCATGGAAACCGAAGCGGCTCGAAGCACGAAGCCAAGAAAAAAAAACAGCTTTCAGACGGCATGTGCTCAAAGTGTCATGCGAGATGTGTGTGCCGTGTTTGTGTGTGTGTGTGTGTTGGCTCCATGTTGGCATGTCCGAAAGGACCCCTGCGAACCTGAAACCGAGAAGGGCAAAACGAGCCGGAGGTGGGAAAAGTTTTTGGGGCTCGGGCCCTGAGGGAACAACTTTCAGCGCAAACGTTTCATGGTCAATGTCACTGCCTCCATGGCTACGGAGCATGAGCTCCGCACCTCCTCTTTCGTCCATTTCCTGGGCCTGGCATCAAGGTCCAAAGACAGAAGCTCGCCACGTGGCGTCGTTTGCCTCTCCCCCGGACTTCTTCTTCCCTCCAACTGCTTGTGTCTCCCTTTCCCGGACAGAAATCGGACGATCGCTTTCCATGGCTCGCCGGATATTTGTTCCTTGCTTCGGAGTTCCTGGCAAACGCTTCCCCTGAAGAAACCGACGCGACCTTTGGAACCGAACGACGCAAAACGGCCGCCTGGCGCTCCAGGACGTTGAGAGCAGACCTGAGCCTGGGGCCACCCGGCGAGGGGCTTCCCCGTGCTCTTTGGAGGTCGCCCGCGTTTTGGTGTGTTTTTAAAGGGAAACCAACAGGAAAACCGGAGGTCTTTTTTTTCCGGCATTTTGGGGTCGCGGTCTGAGAAAAACAGGCAGCACACGCACATGCTCTGTTCCTGAAAAGGTTTGGGTCAAAATTTAACCACAAGGGGACCACAGGTTTTGCTCCATGTTGCCACTTACCAGGGTTCCATTTTGGGTACCTATTTTTGACCCACAACGCCAAATTGGCCCGGAGTCGTCCGAAAAACTGCCGATCTGGGGGCCGCGGGCAGCTTCTTGTCCCGCTTCTTGTGCTCATTACAGAGCATGGCCTCCGGAGTCGCGCGAACGGCTGCGGCAGGTAAGTCTGAAGGCCTCGTAAGTCTCATGTGGTTGTGAATTGTCAGAAAGCACCTTTGCTGGATATCACTTCCAGTGGATTTTAAATATACACATATATATATATATAAATGCCCGCCCACCACTTTGAGGTGGTTCCCTATCAAATGTTCATAGCCACATCAAAGCAGGGGGCACGGGAAATGGACGTCAGAGTGCGGGAATTCAACAGAAGCTCCGTGCCTGGAACCAGAAGTCCACCTGCTCCTGCAAGCCCGCCTCCAGCAACTCCGCCGGCACCTGGTAGGACAAGATCCGCCACTTCTGGCGGTTCATCCTGGCAGACCACCAGGTGTTCACCTCGGGGAGCCCGCAAGAATGCGCCGCGCAGTGACGCAGCTCAACGAGCTCACAAGGGACACACCAGACACGGCTCTCGACTCATTGAGGCGCCCCGCCGCTGACCACTCCACCGCCTGGCGGTGGAAGAAAAATCTTTGGAGCGCTGCACCGTGATCCGGCGCATAGGGAAAAAGCCACAAGACCAGAGACCGGAACAACTCAAAGCCGCGTTTAGCCCCGGAGCAAAACCTCGCGCTTTTCCACGTGCCCGTCCTTCGCGCTCTTCAGCCCAGTCTTCTTGAGCTTGCGCCTACCAGCGCTTCTGCCGAGCGGCGCTGTTGGGTGGCAAACCCCGACAGCCACCAAGGGACCAAAACTTGTTCGAGATGGCATTTCTTCCCAGCCACCTCGCAGGTTCACCGGCCCCCGACGGCCCGGGCACCGGTCTCTGGGCTCCCGGCAGCAAGTGCCGCACAAAGACCTGCGTCTCAATGGCCACCCCGTGTTTGTCCTGGACAGCTCGATTTCGGACAGCTCCAGAAATCGTTCGTTGGGGTCTCTAAATACCCCCAAAACGGCGAGGGACTATGTAGGGGGGAGGGGGGACCCCCACATATACATTTAAGCTGCGACCACAATCCTACCGCACCCCCCCCCAATATACATAAAAATCCGCTTTTGCTGGGTTTTGCCCCAAACATCAGCAAGAGACCAAAGCCAAGCAGGCCCATGGCAGACCCTGAAAAACTCCAGCTGCACAAAAGAAACGGCGCCCACACAAATTAGGAGCCCTCCTGAAACACGCCCCACTTCACGCAAGTGATCAGCCCGACAAGTAGGCCCTGAAAGAAACAAGCTTCGCAAAAAAACGGGGGCCACACACAAAAAGAAAAATTACAAGCCCTACAAAAGCAGCAGGCCGACCCAGCCGGCCACGCTAGGGCCTGAAAAAAACTCAGCTAGCGCAACAAAACGGCAGCCACACACAACAAGCAAATTAGACACCCTACGCAAAAATCATTAAGAAAGCAGCAGCCCGACCAAGCAGACTAGTAAACGGCCAAATATAACCGCGCAAAAAAATAAACAATCAAGAAACAATCAAGTGGGTTAGTGACAAGCCCGAAACAAAAACAAACTGCAAAAACACAAAGCGCAGCGAAACACAACAAACAAATTAGAGGCTCTACTTGCCAACAAACAGTTGACAAAAAAACAGCTGCCCGAACAAGCAGACCAGTGACAGGACCTGAAAACAAGCCGCGCACAAAAAATCCAGAAGCCCCACTAAAAACATCCCACTTGACGAAGAGCAGCAGCCCCGACCAAGCAAACAACTAGCAGGCCCTGAAAAACAACTTCGCAAAAAAGGCAGCCACACACAACAAGCAAATTGGAAGCCCTACTAAAAGCATCACATTTCACGAAAAGCATCAGCCCGGGCCAGTGACAGGCCCCAAACAAAAGCTAGCTGCAAAAACACGGCGGCAGCTACAAAGCAAATTAGAACCATTGAAGGGGCGACCGCCGAGGGGGTCATGGCCCGACCGGCGACGGGGTCGGGGCCCGACCGCCGGCAGGGTCGGGGCCCGACCGGCGACGGGGTCGGGGCCCGACCGGCGACGCGGTCGGGGCCCGACCGCCGGCGGGGTCGGGGCCCGACCGCCGACGGGTCGGGGCCCGACCGCCGACGGAGTTGGGGCCCGACCACAGGCCCTGAACAACATCAATCTGCACAAAAGAAAGGCAGCCACACACAAGCGAATTAGAAGCTCTACCTTGACGAAAAGCAGCAGCCCGACCAAGCAGCCCAGTGACAGCCCTGTAAAAAATCAAGCCGCGCAAAAAAGGGCGGCAGCCACACAACAAACCAGAAGCCCGGCGAAGACATCCCACTTGCAAAAAAACAAGAGACCAGAAGAGCACGGGAGCAGGAGACTAAGGAACATGATTGAAACGTGTCTTGTTTTTTGATGGCCAGTGACAGGCCCTGACAAAAATCCAGCTACGCAAAAAAAAAGGGCGGCAACCCCACACAAAAAACTAATTAGAAGCTCTGCTAAAAACTCCCACTTCACGAGAATCATCAGCCAGACAAGTAGGCCAGTGCCAGGCCCTGAAAACAATCCAGCTGCCAAAAATAAACGGTGAACAAATTCAAAACAGTCGCTCTACCTGAAAAAATAAGCTCAGGTGACATCCCCAACAGCATGCGGTGCTCTTTTTAGTGCGCGCACCACCCCGCACCCCTCGCAGAACCTCGTGGAACCCTGATGGAACGTCATTGGACCTTGGTGGAACGCTCGCGGAACCTCACCTCAGGGCCGTCCGGGACCACCCCGGAGCCTATCTGGGCTGAGACCCCAAAGCTTTCAGCTGTTGGAGAAAAACCAACTTCACGAAAATCATCAGCCCAACAAGTAGGCCAGTGACAGGCCCTGACAAATATCCAGCTGGACAAAGAAAGGCGGTAACACAGACAACATGCAAATTAGAAGCGCTACTCAAAACATCCTGCTTCAGGAAAAGGTCGGCTGGCGGGGTCGGGGCCCGACTGCTGGCGGGGTCGGGGCCCGGCTGCTGGCGGGGTCGGGGCCCGACTGCTGGCGGGGTCGGGGCCCGACTGCTGGCAGGGTCGGGGCGCGACAGCACGAACAGTTTCCTTTGCGACCGGGCGCTGAAATGTAAACCTACACAGGTGGCTACAAAGGACTACTTGTCGGGCTGATGATTTTCGTGAAGTTGGTTTTTATGTAAAGATTCTATTTTGTTCGCCGTGCATTTTGCGAAGCTGGATTTTTTCAAGGCCTGGCACTGGCTACTGGTCTGGCTGATGATTCTCGTGAAGTGGGCTTTCTCAACTAGGGCTTCTAATTTGGTTGTTGTGTGTGGGTGCCAATTTGTTGTACAGTTTTTCCTGGGCCTGTCACTGGCGTGCTTGGTCGGGCTGCATTTTTTGTGATTTGGGCGTTCTGCAATAGAGTTTCTAATTTGTGTTTTGTCAGTGGCTGCCTTTTTTTCGCGGCTAAAGCCATTGTTGCGTCAGGGGTCACTTGTTCTTACGCCCGGCGGGCTTAAGAACAAGTAGGCACTTTAGCGAACAAGTGACCAGGTCACTTGTTCCGGTTGGCCCCCACTTGTTCTTATGCCCGCCGGGCGTAAGAACAAGTGACCCCTCAAAACGCTTGGGGCTGGGAACTAGCCAAGGCATTCCAGGACTCGTGGGAGCGGCGCAGTGGCAGCATCTGACACCTACACCAAGCAGCGTATTGCTCTGTCGAATTACTTGATTCGTCGCACGGACGCCCGTCATTTCGATCTACAGACGGCATCACTGGCATCGCCAGCATCACCAGCAATGGCGCCTAGCTGATTCTCGCTCTGACGAATTAGCTAATTCGTCGCACGGACACCTGTCGCCGTGTCGCCTTCATCTTCGGAGTGCGTCACCGGCATCGCCAGCATTACCAGCAATGACGTCTAGCTGATTTTCGCTCTGACGAATTAGTTAATTCGTCGCGCGGACACCCGTCGCCTCGATCTACGGAGTGCATCACCGGCATCGCCAGCAGCACCAGCAATACCAGCAATAAAGTCTAGCTGAGACGCTGAGATTCGCTCTGGCGAAGTAAAGCTAATTCGCATTACCAGCAATGAAGTCTAGCTGATTTTCGCTCTGACGAATTAGCAAATTCGTCGCACGGACACCCGTCGCCTTGATCTACGGAGTGCATCACCGGCATCGCCAGCATCACCAGCATGAAGTCTAGATGATATTCGCTCTGTCGAATTAGCTAATTCGCATTACCAGCAATGAAGTCTAGCTGATTTTCGCTCTGACGAATTAGCAAATTTGTCGCGCGGACTCGACCACACACTGGCATCAACAGCCTCGCGAATCCCTGGAGCACAATGAGTGCATACGCTAAGGCGCGCTGCTTGCTATCTGTTTGCTCTGCTCAAAATATTTAGAGGCACCCCTGCCCCGGTTCGATGTTCTCACACCTCTGTGATCCCGACTTCTCACACCTCTGTGATCCGGACAGCAACGAACCCGACACTCGTCGCCCTTCCATTTCAGCTAGTTCCTCGCGATGCCGGCGGCCTTCTTTGCAACGAGTGTATCTAAATCGCAGCTCGGCCCCGCTTGCAATGATGTGGGAAACGCTGGGACTGCTCAATCAGCTAGCTCTCTCCCACACAGGCTTTCTCGTCAGCACTCCCCTGCTGGAATTTTCGAAAGCCTGCGGCTATCGGTCTGACGTAGTGGATAGCAACGCATTGCTCCGATTGCTCTGGGTAAACCAGCTTGTTTGCTAGGATTTTGCATGCTTAGTGAGGGCTCCATGTATCTCAGAACCGACGATCGCCACGGGGTGGTGTGGATCGACTTGAACCTTGGCCGGAGCAGGAAGTGATCACAGGGGCCCAGCTGAGTTCTGTTGCGCCTCGCTTACGGCGCAAAGCTCGTGCCCTTCAGCATGGCGCTGCGACGATGCGCTTGCTTGAGCTAGGAAACTAAACACCACTACTCTTTCGAACGAATGCTTCCTAGGGCTCATATCCGGCAGTGCGTTGCTTCAGCGTCACTTGAAAGCAGTGAAAACACGTACTTTGTCTTCAGGGCGGCCCTACTCAAAGCAAAATGCAGCAAGCCCTATACGAGCGGCGGTCGTAAACCACTTAGCAAGTAGATAGGGTCCGCGTCTGTACAGCTGACTTCTTGGCACTTACTTCTCAAAGAAGAGACCGAGGTGAGCGACACGATGCCCCAGAAGACGGTGGCGTCAGCAAGACTGACAAGCTTCCAAACAAGGCGCGCAGTGCTTCCCCCGAAGCAATCCCAGTGTTGACTTCGAAGCGAGCTGGAAGTTTGACCCTCATCACACTTTCAAATCTTGGGCCCTCTCGGAGGCGCGTGCTTTTACACGTGTGCGATGCAGGAGCTAGAGCTGTTGAACGCCGGTGGGGGGGGGCCTAATTGGAGAGACAATTGTAGTGGGTGTTGAAGTAGGCCAGGGCCAGCCACTTGAAGCAACCTTGACAAAGTTGGCGGATATGTCCCTGGGCTTTGTCCACGTGGTCCGCGCAAAAATCAGCGCCTGTTGAGCAGCAGAAGAGTCTCACAATCAAGGAATCGGACACCATCGCCTCCATCAGGCCCTGGCAGCACAAGATGGAGCTTGCTCAGCTACATGCCGTACTACATGCCCACTTCAACACTCCGTACGAGTTCTAGGACATGTTTTTGGCAAAGCCCGTTCTCGGGCTGCTGCCGGAATGCGTGATGCGGATTGCTGGCACATGGGCCTCTAGAATCGCGCAACACCTAATTTGAAAGCATTCCAACACTGAGCCGCGGACCTTTCCAGGTCCATTTGCAACCATTTGCT